TTTACTTGCTCTGAATTTTAGGCACAGGTGAACTGAATATGAGTATCTAAATATGATGATTACAGTCTCAACAAGGCAATAATTGTAAAGACAATCATCGCGTAACTGCATTGTTACCCTGGAATACAAAAGTAGTTGGTAATTTTTGAGTAATGTTTAAGTTGTGTGCTGTTACAGTAGATCCTCCACAGTAACTATGAATCATGAATCTTTTTGGCAGCACAGAAAGAGGAACATGCTAATGAATAAATAGTTAGTGGAAGGGTTTTGTGCAGGGTTTGGATCTGGAGCTATTAGGAAAGTATTAACTACAGCCTGTCCAATAAAGGATTTTTAAGACCAGTGCCGATTGGTTATAGGTGATTGAGGAATCTAATAGGTTGCTGATGGGGGGGTTTTTTCCGCCCAGATGAACGAAACATGACATTTCCCTAACATTCATCCACACTCTGTCCAGCTGTGATCCGATCAGTTGATCACTGTATTTGTAGTATTTGAAACACATCTTGGCAACAGGGAAGTGGCACAGTGCCCTCTGGTGGACAAACTATGTAATGCCAACATTCATATCATAGCTGAAGGTTTTTTTTTTTAATTTCTCCTTTTTAAAATGTTAATTTATTGGATATTGCTGATACCACTAGACTGCAAAATACAGTAGCTAATAATTAAATAGAGAAATCTGTTAGCTCTAGTCCTAACGAACAACTTTGTTAGCGATCAGATTGCTCCTGATTCGTTCTTTGTTTGTTTGCAGGTGACTAAGCAAATTTTTGTGTCCCTTTTTGTGAAGTGTTATCAATTCTGTATTTGCTTTGGTTCCATTTCCCTCTACTATTTTTAATTGGCACAATCCTGAGAGGCAGCGAAAGAAGCAAGACCAGAATCATTAAACTCCATCTTTGTCCTCTCTTTTTGTCCCTCAGAGCCACAACCGTCATTGGTTATTTGCCGCAGGAAGTTCTCGGCACATCCTGCTATGAGTACTTTCACCAAGATGACCTGCAGCACCTCGCAGGAAAGCACAGGCAAGGTAATTAGCAAAGCCACAACTAATGCCAAACTGAATCTATGCTAAAATAACTGTAGCTCAGTTTGTCTTCAGGTCAGAAGGAAAGGAAAGCGCTCGTAGTGACTTTTTTCACTTTGCTTTGTGATGACATGTGTCAAATCTTTTGGCAGTGCTTCGAAGCAAAGAGAAGATTGAGACACAGTGCTACAAGTTTAAAACAAAATACGGCTCCTACGTTTCCCTCCAAAGTCAGTGGTTTAGTTTCACAAATCCATGGACCAAAGAAGTGGAGTTTATCGTGTCTTTAAATAGGGTTATTTCGTAAGTACCAATTGCTGTCGTTTCAACTTTATTGTTGCTCTTTCATATGCACTGCGCTGCCGTAATAAAGCCTTTAATACAACTCTGTTCTGGATGAAGCAGTTAAAATACTCCATTGCACCAACAGGGGGCCCGCTCACACAAAAAATGAGGAGGAGGCAGGCAGCTCAAAGGCACTCCAGGGTAAGAGATGCACACAGAGCCGTGTATTCATCGTGCTGTCATGTGTCTTTTTTGTCTGAGCTTTTTTTTGTCCTCCTGCCTTAAAAGACGACATAAAGCAAATACCAGTAATTCCCGGCTTCTCCAGTGGCACCGGCACAATGATCTACGCTGGCAGCATAGGGACCCAAATCGCAAATGAGCTCATCGACTCCTACAGGTACAGTCTGTCAACTCTCTGTTTGTCAAGGCTCGATGAATTTAAAATCATGTTGCTTTTCTTCATAGAAAGGCGTCATATTTTCTGATAGATGCTCCAATAAATCTGAACATTTGGTACAAAAACATCCAGAATAACCATGAAAGCCCGTTTGTGATAAATCCTGTGTTTTACTTACCTGGATGATTGAGCATGCATCAAGACCCAATGTTTTATAATTTTTTTGACAGGGTGAACTCATCTCCATCAAGCGGAGCTTCGAGTCCGTTTGGCCCAGCCCAGGAGAAATGTCCACTGGTGTCCCCACAAACCAGCAGGAGTGTGAGTGACCTAAATCATAGGACTTTCCCACTGTTACTAACAGTAACCATGAAGCACCAGCTGGAATCAGTTTGCTTGGTGTGCTGCTGGGGGTTAATTTATTCATAATATTTCATCCTTTAGTTTATAGTTTTTGCACTTTTTTGAACTTCTGGCACTTTTTTTTGAAATCCTGAATCTTTACTGTTGGGATTTGGAGGAATGGTGCGATTCGTTTTCCGGTGAAACATTAGGAATATTTCTCATTCTGGTCATTTTATGGAAATTTGGATAAACATGCCATTTTAATGGGGGCCACCTTACAGCAGGAAGGTTCCTGGTTTGAACCTCGTGGTTGGCTAAGGCCGTTGAGTGTGGAGTTTGGACTCGCTGTGCTTCCTCTGGCAACTTCAGCATTTCTCTCAGAGTAAATAAACCTGCATGCTTGGCCACTTAGTGGCCTAAAGTGGGCCTAAATTCAATCAGCAGTTAGTAAAATGGATGAATAGATGGCTGGATGGTGACATGGGGAGGTCTGATATTGTGATTGAATTCACAATAATACTTTTATAATTGTCTAAAGTATCAAGATTTGTCAGTATGCCATTACTTTACATAATGCAAAGCTCTGAACTGTACTTCCACCACAGCATCCTCACAAGGTGTATCATCATCCCCGTAGACAAGAAACTCTTCAAATGTAGGAGGAGATGTGTGTGAGAAAGATGAAAGCAGCTTGCTTTCCTGAGTTTAATTACACACTTCAGTGGAGAAAGGTGAAACGCGGGGTCCTGCACGCTGTTTTAATGTATAATGGCTTGTTGCAGACATCCAGCAGGGAGGAGGCAGCAGGCAGTTCATCACAGTCCCAGTCCCAGTCTGACTCAAGGACGGCAGCAGGGACGAGCAGCTCAACTTCTGAAAGCGCAGGTACTGCCAGCAAGACCATCACAAATACACTCTGTTAACAGTTTCTGTCTTTTCTTTTTCCTGTACTGCAGTCTGCAGTGAAGGACGAGAGTAACTGAGCACCACTTTATATTTTGTATTAGTAAATACCTCGGCTGTTTATGGTGTGCATCCCACTCGTGATTTCACAGCTGCAGGCCAAGAAAAGATGTAAGCAATCCAAATTTAGGCAAATGCGACACAGAAAAGAAAGGAAATACAAACTGAGTAAAAAATAAAACTGTAAAATAATTAACGACTAGATGCTGTTGTATTGACTACATGGTCATTACAACAGCAGTTTATGGATAAACTCCATAAAAGCAGAATATACTGTATACACATGCACAAAACTGAGGTAAAGTCAGTGAGTGACACATTTAAAAAATGTAACAGTTTCTGAACTGAAGCTTCATCACTTCACTTCCCAATGATTTTGCCTCTGTCTACTAATGTGTACAGAGGCACTGTTTTTTATTGTATTTTGAAGTCTTATTGAATAATGTTCATTTTTTGATGTCTTTCCTTAGAATAAAAAAGGATGCTAAAGCAGTGAAGCTGAAGCCAGTTTCTTCTGTAACTTTGCCAAAACAAAAGAAGCTAACTGAAACCAGCTAACCTAGCAGCTCCCACAAGCTAATGGTAAAATGCTACTTTAAAATGAGCATTTTAATTAGCACAAATGAGCAAACTAAAATTATTGACGAGCTTTTTGGTCATTATTCAAAAAGAGTAACATATTATTCATTATTATTATTTTAAAGCTATGCATTATGTTACTTACATCATACAAATTATGTTAGCGTTGCTTAGAGATGCTTTGGCACATAAAAGTAAATAAAATAAATAAAAGCTGGACGCAGAGCCATGTGCTAGATTGGGTTTTTTTTTTCACTTTTAAAGACAACAGCAGCGTAAACCAGTCCAGACAGCAAATATTGTTTCCCACAGCAGTTGTACTGTAGGAACATTTCCAGCCCATCGCTGATGAAGCTCCGGCTGCGGCTGCTTGACTTGACGTCACTCTGTGTTCTTCACCGCTTTACCGGACACTGTTAAAAGTGTATATTTTTCTTAGATCTCATTTTTTGTTTTGCTCTGCTTCACTCAGGCGAGCCCTCCCAGCTGGACCTGGACAGCATGGTGGTGCCAGGCCTGAGCAGCTTCAGCAGCGATGAGGCTGCCATGGCGGTCATCATGAGCTTGCTGGAGACGGACGTGAACATGGGTCAATCAGGGGAGTTGGAGGATTTACACTGGCCTTTCTAGAGGATGCTCAGACTCTCGGCCTCACTCTCTCTCACAGAACTAGGCAGTTCAGTTAATTCTGATCTGCCTGATACCTGAACTGGCCTTGCACAATTGAACCTACAGGACTTGTACCAAAAGTCACAACATGTCAGACTTGAGGACCGGTGAACAGGAAGTGTACAGGAAGTGTTGTGACTGTGATTAGCCTCCGGGTACTTGGTTTTTGCTTGAAAGAAGGTCTGGTTGAAGATCCCTTGGAGCCTGCGGTGATACAGTGTCTTCCTTAGTAACACTTGTGCATCCTGAATAGGGGTTGGAGACGAGACCTTCAACAGCAGGGAAATCTATTTGCTCTGCTGCCCTTAGTCACCAAGGCCACCAAGGTCTGGAGGAGCATAGAAGTCCTGTAATGTGCAGTGCTGCTACAGAAACCTCAAACATTGACATTTGTGGAACCTTTGGTACAGTTTTAGGAATGACTTGTTTTTCATACATTGTCTGATTGTTCAATTTTTTTATCATATGTTAAAGATTCCCATCAGACACATTTTAAGTAAAAGTAAAAAAAAAAAGAAGAAAAAACTGATGAGTAAATTGCTGAAGAAGGTTAAAAAGAATGTGTCGGTTTTAGCTCCTTGATTAAGGACTGCAGCTATTTATGTACAAATCGGGGCACCTCAGTCCTTGAACAACCACTACTGGTTCAGCTACATTTCATTTTGGACATGCCCAGCACAGCCACGCAGTGTGGGGAGAGTTAAAAACACTGTGTCACATATAAATACTGTTACCTAAAATTCTGCAGTGATTCACAAATGCCAAATTTTTATAAGATCATAATTGCATTAGAAAAAAAGTTAATCAGCTTGTAGTTTCTCTATAAAAAACCCTACTGCTTAATTAGTATTATTTAAGTATTTTGGGAATTCTTCATTCTCCATCACACTTCTCAAACCTGTAGTGGCAGTAATGGGGTGAAGAAAACAGCACAAACTAGACACTAGACAGCAGACACTGCTGGGGACATGCAGATCATGGGCTGTATTTGATAACGGACTATCAGAATTGCGAGATTGCCAAAGACACCCAGCGCTTTGAATCACACGTACTGTATTATTTAAAAGAAATTGTGTTCATTCCTAATCATTTGTATACACAAATGATCCAGAAGTGTGTCTGATTTTTGCTTCTACTGAGCTAGCCGAGCACTTTTGTCACCTAATCAGACCACATGAGCAAAGATGCTTGGTTTACACTTAGAGACAATCAAAGAATTATAACAATAATGTGGTTAAAAGGTTTCATATTATTATCTAGCACAATCAACACACAGATTCCAACTTTGACAATTAGCTAGCGATGGGGCTACTAGCAAGGATCGCTAATGCTACGAGGACCTACGAAGGGAATGTGTTTCATGGAGAACGCTTTACTTCAGGACTGTTTTTATTAAAATAAATACTTGAATATTGAATACTGTTTACAGTTCTGATTGCTGAATGAATGGTAGGAATGGTAGACTCTGTAGTCTTTATAAATTTCTCTACATATGTATCAAATGTCTGACCACCTGGTTTCTCATTTAACAGGAAGAAGCTAAACCCTAGTAATAAATCAGCTTCACATTTAACAGTTTAACCACACAAAACAAAGTTGTATGGAAAGAATATCATGTGGAAGTGTGACTTTACAAATCACAGTCATGTATTTACAGTTTAGAGAAATGTGATTACGGCCTCCTTGTAAAAATCCATAGATTAAGTAAAAGAGAACACAAAGAAAACAAAACGCAAGGGTGTTTATATTCAGTATGTAACATAAAGCTGGTAAAATCTATGTTTCTATTATGAATTAACACTAAAGGATGAAGTTGAAGTCAGGCTGTAGTGTTTGCCCGTTAACAGAGACGTTCTAACATGATGCTAACGTGATCTCTTGTACAATGAACTCCTTTGAGGAGCCAAAGGACTCTGAGGACAGATTTCCTTTGTTTTGGCCCCAGAATATCAGCATAGAAATGAGCTGTGATATTTGTGTAGTAGAGCCACTCGTGAATAATCTCAACATCGTAGGTAGCTCAGATATACTGTCATTAGCTGTCAGAGGTCAGAATGCAAGCGGACGTTTAGATTTGAGCAAAAGCTGTAGCCACAGTTGTTACCAAGCTTACTCTGAGTGAAAGTAAAGGTGAATTTTAGTTTAATTTGCAGCCTCAGCATAGCTCATGTAGAGTCTGGTTATACCACTGGTTCCTCAAATCTTGAAAGTTTAATGTGACTCTGTTGCCTTGAATGCATGTCGCATCTGACGGGGTTCAGTTGGAAGTCATGAGTAAGACGCTCTTTTTGGCTTTACAAGGAAAACTCACCACATACTTTTGCCATCTGTGCCATGTGAAATGGACGCTGAAGCATGATGAACATGCCCCGCTATCAAAGACAAAGTGTCTGATGTTTGTATGTGATACTGTTGTCATTGTATCTGCTGTAACAGAGCCGAGGGGGAAGACTTTGTCAGTAAAAGAGCATTTTTAAGTAATTGTCCCAACAGTTTATTTCATTTTAAAATTAAGGTCTTTATTTGATACCAGTGCCAAAATGGTTTTCGCACAGTAATTACATCCATGCTTGAAAGTTTTTAAAGCATGAATTTGCCAATATGGTGAAGACAGTGAACTATTTAATTCATTTTTAAAATAATATTAATATACAACCACTTACAAAAGGAGTCAAATCTCACAAACAGCACAGATAATGATGTCATGTTATCCATAGAGTTATTCCTTTAGACATTTAAAATGATTGCTTTACAAAGAAGAGGAAGCAAACAATGAAGAAAACAACCAATAAGGAAAAGAGGACGTGAAAATGAAAAATTATGCTCCATTTTTAAGAACAGCTCTTATTTTTAATATAGAGAAATTTTTATGTAACACATTCATTTACAGTTATGTATAACATTTAATTATATAACATGTCAACTACTACTTATAAAAATATTAATTACCAACAACATTATTAACATGCTGTGTATGAGACAACTGGCACCAAATTGAAATGAACTATTAGAAAAAATGTAAATTTTTTGTGTGACATATAGATGTTGTCTCAGAACAAAAGCAGATAATCATTAATATTATACTGTTAGGAGCAGTTTTGGCTTACAGGAGCAGATTTAGATATGTTCAACTTTGGTTCAGTTCAATATGAACATCGGACACTATAGCAATATACCAAGAAGCTTCCTTTAACACTGGGATTCTTATAAATGGCAACTATTTTTTTTCTAGTTTTGGTTCATTTTTTATGTTCATCTCTGCAATAGATTTATATAATATAATATAATATAATATAATATAATATAATATAATATAATATAAACTATAATAACCACAACACAACCAAAGCTGAGACTCTGCTTTAAATCGAGGTTTTAAACAAAAACACTGGATTGCAGTTGTTACATTTTTTTCAGCAGACGTTCCTCTTTTCATATGGTATAGGTATAGGTTGATCTTCTATAAGATCAACCTCTGGTATGGGCTGATCTTGTGGTGAACTCTCTCTGCTTGCTCTCCTAAAGTCTTCTTTTTATGGTACACTTGGAAAAATTTGATGTCTCTCTCCTGGTAAGTATTCTTAAGTTAGCTGGATATACATGGATTACATGACATGCCCACTTCAGTATGTTTTAGGGCGCCAAGGGACAAAACGCTTTTAGGCCTAATTAATATCACCTGTTAGGACACTTTGAAACTTTGCTGTGCATAAGTAGAATGTAAACGGTATAAGTAGCAATGTGACTGTAGTTTCTAATAGTGTAAAAACATACTTTGTGTTTTTGCAGATTTGGAACTTTCTTCATCGCCAAAGCCTTTAGGGAACCAGCTACTTCTTTTTAGTTTCTAAATGCAAGGGTTTCCATAGCAACTTTGTGTTAAACATCACAGTCTTCTATGCTGTGGGTAATTCCCTTGTGCAAAGTCTATATAAATGCAGACTTTTGGAAGGAGTGTATAAAAAGCACTTAATATCTGGGAAAATGTCCCCATGCACTTGGGCATTTTGACAGCAGGACAGCCCTGAGGTCTAAGGGTCTTGTGAGCTTAAAGCTTAGTTGATGGAATAAGCTCAAAATCTTTAAGTTTGTGAGTGCTAAGGTTGTGATTGAGTCATAGACCTTGTTTTTACCTCAGAAAGTATGAGCCACGTTGCAGCATGTGCCAGCTCTGTAAAGCTGTTACAGATATCTGAATGTAGTGATGTAGATTCTGGGATAGGATTTTACATGATGTCCTAACCTAAGTCACACTTCATCGTGTTGACACAAAAGGCCGGGCGGTGTAATAATCTCGGTCTTGCATTAGTTGCAATCAAATGTCCAGTTAGTGGACTTGTGGCTATGTAAACTTTTACCTTTGCCTTTACCTTTGAGACAGACAGTGGTTTCCTTTCCTCCAAAAACACCCAAGGTTGGGAAGATGGTATGAGCGATGTACCAGATTTCATTATGCCATCAGTGATCCCCAGTTATCGCCAGTCGTGGCAGGTGGTGGTAGAGTGTTGCTTATAGGGGTTTTCTAATTGTTGGGTTTTTTCTCTGTATTATTGTGAGGTCTTAACCTTACAACATAAAGTGTCTTGAGGAAACTGTTGTGATTTGCTGAATGTGGAAAAACATGCTGAAAATGTAGGCCAGCTTGTCATTTTCAGCTGTCCGGAAACAGTGATGAATTGGGTCTGTAATCATTTCTGACCATGCATTCGTTTTGAAAAACTCTTAAAACACACACTGAACATATTGAACTCTCTTTATTCAGCATTTACGGCAGTCCTGTTGTTATACAAATAGTTTACAGTAAAAGACTTGCCATTTAAAAAAGGGTTAAAGTGCAGATTTATTAGTGTTCTATTAAAAATAAAAGCAAATGGTCCTTGCACAGAGTTTATGATTTAAGTGCATTTAAACAGTTCAAAGGAACAATAAAGGTTTAGCATCTCCACCCACTGCACACTCACAGTGTGCCTGACTTCATCATGTTTCACTAACATTGCACAAACGATCTTCATAAAATTAAATATGTTGTTGAATTAATTATGATGTAATGATTTTTTTATTGTAACCCAGAATAACCACGCTGGAATGTTTCACCGGCCACAGTGCTGATCACTAAAGCTTTTCTTATTAATTTTCTTATTGTACTACACAAATAGCTGCAAGAAGGAAACATAAACAGACACAGACAGAAGAAAAAGTTAAAAGTAGTTAACAGTGTTGAAAGAAAGAATATGTGAATTAACAATAGCCAGTGTGCGGTTAAATCCACACAAACTGGCTTTGCTCAGTGGTTGCTACAACGGCGCTTGCTGCCAATAAAAGCCCTCATTACTGTGTTTTGCCCATTCATTGTGGGAAAATACCTCAGTGTATTAACAAGAGCTGCTTTCATTACATCACACATGGCTCTGGTTAAAAGATGAGTGAGATTCCAAGAAGATATGTCAAAAAATATATATTTGTCAATTTATTTAGCTCAAGATAATAATATGTGCGATGATGGCTGATTATTTCTAAACAGTTAGCTATTAAAATGTACATTTCTGAGAGCTGCCTAAACAAAGTCTTCCTTCAATGAACAAAATTAGTGGAATCTAAATAACAACTCTTTGTGTCCCTTTGTTGCTAGGCTACATTGGGTTTCAGTAATAACGATCTGGTGGTTGTTAAACAAAAGCAGGGTTTTCTCCACCAATCTCCCCCTGCTGGTAACAAAGCTTCATCTGAGTGAGAATCAAGGGGAAAAAAGTTGTTAGGTTCCCGCTCAGTCCAAACTGAGAAGTCCATCAAGCATGCACAACAAAGGGGAGCTTCTACGCTGGCTGCATGTCCATTTCTACACGTCTGCTTTAGATTATTGGCACTGGCAGACCTCTGTGGGAGAAAACTGGGATAAGAAAGAGTAAAAAGACTTCATGTGTCTCCGAACATGCCCGTTCTTCAGTAGGAGCACCACAGCGCCCAGAAAAAATGGAAGCGGAAGTACGTAGCTTACTGCCATGGCCTCTGTGGTGTTGGATTGGGGTTGGGATAGATGGGTGCCGGTGTTGGGTGGTGGTAGTTTGGCACTAAGTTGGGTTTTGGAGGATATGTTGGGGTGGGGTACTGTGGCATGCCGTGTGGCTGGCTGTGGGGGATGGTGTGGGCGGGAGAGGAAGCGGCAGAAGCGGAGTCAGGGAGGTGAAGGTAGAGGGGAGCAGAGGGAGCAGTGGGAGCGGACGGTGCAGTCGGCGTTGGGACCCTCTGCAGGACAACATGTGGGTAAAGCTGAGACTCGGAGCGGTAGAGCCCGGGCATGGAGGCCTTCAGCAGACTCTCCTGACTCCTGAAAGACAGAAGCACAATAAGCCATCTGTTATTACAAACAAGGGAACTCATATGAATGTATCCACGTTAGGCTAAGGCTTCACTTCAAGATTAAAGTACAGATCGAAACAAACAACTGGTTTATTGAAACATGTCAGGAATTAAATAAATGCTACAACTATAAAATAACC